CCCTCCCTCCCCGCCCCACTCCTCCTCCCGCTTTTGCTCGTGCGGGCTCCCGCTCCAGCTCTTCCCGGCTGCCCGGGGCCAAGGCGACGTGAGGTTGTAAAAATCCATGTGGGACGGCCCCGGGGCGAGCTTCGGAAAGGTGAGACGCCGACGCCGGGGCCGCTCGGCACCCGGCTCCCTCGGGGTGCTGTGCCTAGGCATCCCTCGTGCCGGGTGCCCCTAGCTCGTGGGGAGCTGCAATGCGTTATCGCGGGGGAGCTTAGGGGTGAACCATCCGCCTCCACGGGGGCTTTCTGGGGCGGGGTAAAGGATGGGGCGGCCTAAGGGTGGATTTGTCTTGATGTAGAAACCCCCGGATCAGAACAAGTGCACGGCTTTCTCCGGCGCCGCTCGCTCGACCCGGCGGCCCGGGCCACCTCCCGCAGTCCCTCCCCGGCAGCCACCCTCATTGCCATCGCCTTTCATCCCCCAGCGCCCCCTCTTTCGCCTGGCTTGCCCTCTCTTCCCTCGAGGGGTGGAGTGTTAGTGGGGGCAGGGGTCTGGGAAGCCCCAGGCAGAACAAAGTGGAGAAAGGTGGAGCCGGGGATGGGATGCCGAACTGCCTCGGTGGGCTCCAAGGGGGAGTCTTTTTGAAAACAATCCGTGTCAGGAAAAATGAAGCCGGATTTATTGGGGAGGGGTAATGGGTGGTGGTGTATGAAGATGAATACGATGTGAAATTAAACCGAATATTCCTTTCTTCCCCCATCCTTCTGTCCGAATTATACAAGAAAAGGGATACTTAGAGGGTGGTGCCTGTTTTTTTTTTTTTTTTAAATTACTGTCCGAGCCTTTGCAAGATCATCTTAGGACAGTGAAGATTAAGGGCTCCTTTGGTGCGGGATAATGAAACAGCGCTCGTAAACTCTCGGGTAGGCCCTGCCTTATTTATTTTGTACTTAAGGGTCTCTGTTCTCCTTGTCAAAGAGGGAGGGTCCACTCGGTTACGAGCGGATCGATTTTAGGCGGCTACCTGCCTTTGCTGGATGAAAAGCAATTTACTCCCGGAGCGGTGAATTGTCAGTTCCCTCTATGATTGACAGCCATACCTGCCACTTATGTGGGCAGAACGGGGACCGGTGAAACCCCAAGAGCCAATCAATGCACGCGAGAGGAGGGCAGTTCCCACTTGTCATGGTTAGTTTCCTGGTTGGCTTTTTAAATCAGTGGTTTTCCTTAAACCATTGGTTTCCACCAGGTATGAAGCCCCAGCTGTGAGAGACAGACAAGTGGAAAGAAAACTATTCAAAAATGATCCTAGGAGCAAGTATGCTTTATCTGTGTTCCCTGCCTCCTCTTATTAGTAGCATTTGGGGATGCTGAGGCTGTATTCTTGAAAACGAAATGAATCTGTGTGAAGAATGAAATGGCAGGGTTTAGAAGGGCGCTGAGGCTTGGAATTGTTCATCTATGCTCTAGAATTTCAAGTTCCTTTATGAGACACCTTTTACTGCGAGCTATTTGGAAATGGGTGTGGCATTGTCTCCTACAGTCACTTTTGGATTTGTAAAGTCTCATTGGTTTTCAGTATGCAGTAATTCATGCTTGACTCTGTTGGATGGACTTATATTTTTAAAGAGGGAAACAGTTTTATTAGCTTGAGTAGATTCTTTCAGTTTTGACAATATAACTAACTCTCGAAGTGAGGGCTGCCTTGTTCTCTTGTGGAGTACCAATTTGGAGGTGGCAGTGAGGTCAAGGGAGATCCTTTTGAAGGGTATAACAGTTTGATTTTAAGGTGAGTTTGCTTCTAAGCTGAGCCATCTTGTCAGTCTGTTTCTGTGTTTTAATAAAAGCCTTTTCAGTTTGGGGAGAGTGGTGCATGGATGGTGACATAGCCTGGCTTTCACCAGAAAGACTTTCATGGGTAGGTGGATTGTGGGAAGAAGGACTAAGTCCTTGATTCTATACTGGCGAAAGGTGTGTTTTTCAATATCCTCTTCCCAGAATTCATTAGAAATTTACAAATTGGTCCAGAGCAGTGAATTCAGCATTTCATGAACAGATTATAGCCAAAGTGCAATGATTAGATGGTCTTTATATAGGAGATAGGTTTGTTAAGATAATATTAATACTGTTGCTGCTATTATTATTATTGCATATGCTTTCACTTTGCATTGTCTTTTGTAAGCCTTGCAGAGTCCTTATGAGGCAGGTTATGGATGAGAATATTATTATCCCCAAATTATAGCGAGAAAGCTGAAAAGAATTAAGTATTTTGCCACAGTTTAGTGCAAGAGTAACAATTTGAGTCCAGGTTGACCTGACCCAGAGCCTGTGGCCTTGAATTCAAACTGGGTGTATGGTCTGCAATTGTATGGGCTGGGGCTGACGTTTGGGCTCTCCCAGCTTATGTAAGGACTATTCTGTTTAGAATCCTCTATGATGTTAGTGATCTTTGCAGTGTACAATTGTCTTGACTTTTGCTTATACCAGTAGGTAAATCTTATGATTATATTATATATTTTTAATGAATCAGCTTTGGCCCAATGAAAATTTGATCTAAAGTTAATGATGATAACTTAAAAGAAGCTAAAACAAAACAAAATCCACACTCTTTCATATTTCTTTATACCAAAGTTTTATATAGGTCTTAGTTGAATACTGGCTGTTAACCTCATTCCATTGGATCTTTTTGTTTGTTTTTGGTACAAGATTGGGATTGTACTTTCTCTTTCTTACAATGTGACTCTTTTCCAACAGTGATTAAACAAATTAAATTTAAAATTCTCCTACTAAAATATTATAGCCCTATTGTTTTATTAAACTGGAAAAGCTGCAAAATTTAAGTCTCAATGGTCATGATTTGCCAAAACAGGTAGACTTTGGACATACAGAACTGGGGTACAGGCCAGAGTGGTGTGTGAGAAGATTCACCAGAGACAGAGTGGGGTGCAGAACAGGCAGATTGATGGAAATATACTCCTGAGGAGAGCGGCAGG